CCGAAGGAACCTCCGTGATGGCAGCCAATCTGACTGAAACGGCGTGGTCATTGGGCAATCGTGAGAACTTGACAGGAGAGTCCTTAGACTGTCGTCCAGACGGGTTAATTCGCCTCAAAGCAATGCACGTAAACTTGGCCAACTGGAGATCATTGTGTCCATGCAGACCAAGACCAGTCCGAAGCATGGTCTCCATCTCACCAACCACAATCTCGGGGTTTGCAGTTGCCAGCATCCCCAAAACAATGATAGCACCTCGGCGCTGAGTCCGGGAAATCTCCCGTTTCTGAACACCATACACTTGCCAAAGCTTGTTGATAACAACCTCGGGGATCATGCCGCCCTTCATCATTGTCGCCAAAAGCTGCTCCAGCGATGTGAGCTCAGCAGGTGTTGCGCCAAAGGTCAAACTGATCATGTTTCGCGCAATGTAAATGGCTGAGTCATTGGGACTGAACGAGTCAGGTGCCTCGAAGAATAGTCGCCTGTAGCACTCGATCAAGTGTGTCTGGACACCCTTTCCTTCATCGCTATTGCCCTTGGTCCAGATGAGTCGAAGCATACGTCGAATACCGACCTTGTTCTGCTCAATATTATAGGCGTCACCGACCTCAAAGAAGTCCATGGCCTCAATAACCTCGCTCTTGTTCCTTGACCCGAGGAGCTGGCAGATCGTGGTGGTGGCGTCGTGGATGACATCGATAAACTTGAGAGCCTCGTTGTAGTACCGCCGGGTGAGTGTCAGCTTCTCAATAGCTTCGCTTGTAGCAGCTTCCTCCTGTGCCTTCTTGATGGCAGCCGCCTTCTCCTCCTCAGTCATCTGGGTTGGCTTCTGGGGAGAGCCAAGTTGTGTTGCCTCATCAAGAAGCTCGTTGTCAACAGTCGTGTTCGCTTGGTCGCCTCCAAAGCCAGGGACACCAGGAGGAGGCTTGAGAGCATCCAACTCCTCCTGAACCATGTCCAAGCGAGCCTGCCACTCCTTTCTTGACAGCTGAGCGCCGTGCATGACCGTGAAAGGGTGTGTCTTGATAAGTGTGCCTAGAAGCTTGATTGCGTTACGTCGGACATTGCTGCTCTTGTCTTCCAGACTTCTACACGCGAGCTCTGCAGCCTTTTGTCGTCGCTTGGGGAACTTTTGTGCAAGATCGCAAAGTCGCATATACACTTGTAGAGTTCTGCACCGGCAATAGGGGTTTATGTCGAGGAATCGCTCTTCTAACACATCGAAAAAAGCGTTCAATTGGGACTTGTGGTTCTCGCTGCGCTCATCTTGCTTGCTGAGGTAGCCAACCATGTTTCCGCAGACCTCAATAAGAGCACATCGAAGAGTATATGACTACTCTGGTTAGCTAAAGACATAGGATATATACCTGAAAACCTACCTCGCTATCCAATTGCTTCGCAAGCATAGTCATCTGCTTGATCACCAATCGTGGCGCCAGCTCAGAAAGCTTGGCAATAAAGGAAGAAACAGACTTAGGTCCTCTAGTATCGTTCGAGTTGAATTCTTTGTTACTGATTTCGCGTAACACCTCGTCAGCGAGCTGAGGATAGTCGTAAGTTTCTGCTAGAATGTGTAGGAATTCGGCCATGGGTTCCGACAAGTGCTCGAAATAAGTCAAGTTCTGGATGATGTTGATTTGCGCGGCTTTCAGTTGTCAGCATCTCACTTGATTTGGGCACTTCGACGTGCTTACCATATCCATGCCCATGATGCTTCACTGCAATGCAAAGGACCTTGAAGCAGTGCATTCGGATAGTTGTTGTCTTGACTCGCTGCTCACTCTCCAAAACCATGTAAACTGGGCGGGTAAGGAGACCAATGAATGTATCTCGTTCGCTTGTTGTGAGAAAGATCTTAGAGAGCTTGAGCTTAAGGACCTTGCACATAATTTCCAAAGCTCCTTGAAGCTGTGTAGCCGAATCCCAAGCTGCATCCTTATCCTTTGCAGGCCCCTTCTTTCCCTTTCCGCGTCCTCTAGCAGCCGGTGCCGCTGACGACTTCTCAGCGGCCTTGGTCTCAACAGCAGCGATCGTCCATTGCAAGAGGAAGCCGTATATCTCGAGTAGCTTCTTGTGGTGGAGTATCGAGTCTTGCTCGTCGGGGGAGTCGATATCGGAGTGAACAGAGTCGGCCTCTGCACTCAAGCCGCTCATAACAAGGTCGAAGATCTTGCTCAGGGCGTGGGTGGGGAGATGTGCTGTGTATCTGGGATTTTCTAGCTCAGAATGTTGTCCCACAGTCGGAGTATCAGGTGAATGATGGAGGGATATGGGGGCTAACTTGAGGAGAAACTGCAGCGAGTCCATGTGGGAAGCGCGCATGATGGCATCTGGATTATCGGCGACTGCGTCCACGATAGGGTTCAGGACAGAGTTAACGACAGGGAGGGTAAGGGCCTCGGGATCATTTTCGCAGTCGAAGAGAGCCCCATCAGCTTCAGGCGTTGAAATGCTGGCTGGGTCCGACATGTAGTGCTTCAAGGCATCGTTGAGGTCAAAGTCAATGGTATCCATGGCGGGCGATTCGACAGTGTCGTCGCAAGTAGCGAGCGACACGAGGGAAAGAAATGAAGCGGTAAGAACGGTAAAAGTAATGAAAGGGTATCACAAAATGATAAAGGACTAAGCGTGCCTTATGCGCCGAATGTAATGCGACCAGGTAATACCAGACCCGTTAAACCTGACCGTTTGGTGCTTGTTGACAATGCAAGCTTAGTACCAAGTCGGTGGAGGGGATTTAGATTTGGCTGAGGGGACGTGAGCGAACCCCTGGGCAACGATTGTTTTTGTTTTGTTCACCGCGACCACTCAGAACCCTTCCCCTCCATGTCCCGCTAACAAGGCAGCGCGTTGAGCCTATCAGACCCCTGCAACCATTCATCGAGGCTGGCTTTCATCTTTAAGCCCCTCCAACTTCAACTGCATCTGCAACCCGTGAATGCTCTGAAGGCTCAATAACAAAGTCTTGTTCTTTTGCTTAAGCTTGTTTTTACCTGGGAGAGTTCGAAGCGGCCGAAGTAAGTTTCTTTTTTACTGGGTACATTTTCTGTATTACAAAGCGATCATGAGCGCCGCGGTTCATCAGCATGTTGAAGAGCACTTCGATATCCATGAGGATTTGAGGACGGAGGATACGGAGATGATGGTAGAGGAGGAGCGCACTGAAGAGGCAGCTCCGATAGACGAAGACGAACGCGCCGAGTCATTACAGCAGGCGAATCAACAACATCACATTCAGAAAATGCAAAACCAACAACCCCAACAAGAGCCCCAGGAGGAAGAGGAAGAAGAGGAGGAGGAGTCCGAAGACGAAGCCGTTGACCGAACCGTTCAAGCAGACATGGACAAGTTACAGAATGACTTTCCTGGTTTTCGCAATCGGTATCGGTTGATCAAACGCATCGGTGAAGGTACATCCCCGTTTCTCCCATCTGCGTCTCATTGAGGTTAACTAATGTTGCCAGGAACCTTCTCTACCGTCTACAAAGCCGAGGATATTATGTACGACCACTACGACAACAGCTGGGACTACGAAGACGATTCGTCAAAGTGGACACCACCACCTAATGCAACTGAAAGTCCTGTGTCTCACCGTCCCCGTCGCAAGGCACGTTACGTCGCCATCAAGAAGATCTACGTCACCTCAAGTCCCTCGCGAATTCTCAACGAACTTGAACTACTCCACGATCTACGTCAATGCCCCTCTGTCTGTCCTCTAATCACCGCATTCCGCGAAACCGACCAGGTTGTGGCTATCCTGCCTTACTTTCGACACGGAGACTTCCGCACGTACTTTCGCGACTTGACCATCACAGAGATCTCTGTTTACCTTCGAGAACTCTTCACCGCCTTGAAAAGTGTTCATGAACACAAGATTCTGCACCGAGACATCAAGCCTACCAATTTTCTGTACGACCCCGGTACACAGCGCGGTGTCTTAGTCGACTTTGGTCTTGCCGAGAGGGAAGGGTCTGATGCCAAGCCTTGTCTTTGTCACGAGTCCCGAGAAGTCCGAAGGCATCGCCAAACAAACTCAGTCTGGGCGCAGAATGCTGCGACTCCTCAAGCAGGATATCCCAAGTCTGACACCCGATCATCCCGACGTGCCAATCGTGCTGGAACAAGAGGTTTCCGTGCCCCTGAAGTCCTCTTCAAGTGCACAGAGCAGACTACATCCATCGATATCTGGTCTGCCGGCGTCATCCTACTTACTATTCTTTCTAAGCGCTTCCCATTTTTCAATTCGGCCGACGACGTTGAAGCCATGATTGAGATAGCGACTATCTTTGGTACCAAACGCATGAAGGCTGCAGGTTTACTACATGGTTGTGTTTTCGAGACCAGCATTCCTACCGTTGGTCAAGCCGGCTTCTCGATGGAGAAGATCATCATGTGGAGCACATGCAGAGGCGATGACAAACCTCTGACAGGAGAGGAAAAATTGGCCATCAACTTCCTCGAATGGTGTATGGAGCTGGATCCTGACAGGAGAATAACGGCTGCAGAAGCATTGAACCACGATTTTCTTCTCTTGGGCGACATTGAAGCCGAGAGGCAAGAGAACGAGCAAGCAATGGCGGGGCATTAAAAGAATTCTGTATCACTAATGTAATCATAGAAGCATGGAAAGGCGTTGGTTTGAGTATGGTGTTATGGAAGTGGTTGGTTAGATATCCGGTACATAGCCCAACATACCCAGTATCACAAACGTTTCGCGGGAATAGATACAAGGACATCAATAGCACGATCACAGTGTATGAAAAAAATCTTGTCATTCATAATCATGGGCGAAAAATCGATTTTTTTTTCGTTAACTCCTTGCAAGAGTCCCTGATGCAATGCCCGAAGCCGACCGACCTAGGTCCCTGCTCACAGGAGACCTGTCATCCATTACCCGTTGTTCGCGGGTTGGAGATTCTTTTTTCCTTTCGCGAAAATTCCCATACAAGCCCATCCGACTCCTAAGCAAGCACAACATTTAGAGAACAGTTGCTTGCTTAAGCGACAAGCTCAACGACACCACCGGCCTGCTTGATCTTCTGCTCAGCAAGGCGGCTGACCCAGCGGGCGCGGACGACCAGAGGGATCTCGGGGAGACGGCCCTTGCCGAGAACCTTGGAGTAACCGAGGGGGAGGAGGTCGAGGACGGGGACGGTATCCTTCTTCTCGCCGGAGACGTAGGCGTCACGGGTCTCCTGGGGGACGAGAGACCACAGCTTGTCGAGGTTGATGATGGGCTTCCAGAAGTGGTTGGGCTGCTTGTGGAAGTATCGCATACCAACCTTACCGAAGTAACCGGGATGGTACTGTTATTGAGTTAGCCAAAACCTCGTCCCAGTCTTCGCTTCAATCGTGCTGTCGAACCTTGTCCATGTTGGTACGGTGGTGGTGCTGACCACCAGCAAGACCACGACCACCGGGGTGCTTGCGGTGCTTTCCGACACGTCCCTTACCGGCGGAAACGTGACCGCGGCTGAATTACAAGTCAGTCCATCTCAAGTTCGGTATAACATCGTTTTTAATCTCGTCGGGTTCGAGAGCAGCCGCCGACAAAGGGCGATTATTGTGAGCTCCAGCGGTCTATCTCTGAATTTCCCTAAGGAAACAGAAACGGACGCGGTCTCTCTCAACGACCAACCTCGTCGACGGCGAGGGGGATGAGGACATACTGCTTGCGGGTCTTTGAAGTACGGGTAGGCATGGTGACGGCTGTGGTTGTCGACTTGTCCGATTGTTCACAGTCGAAACTTCGAAATGGAGGGTGATATCCTGTAAAGCTAGCAAGAGCCGAAAATCTAGACGAGGGCAGAGCAACCCTAAGAAAATGGCTGTGGGAAAGCGGGGCCGACTTGCGCTCTTTCCAATTTTAGCGGGTCAGGTGATCTCGTGGGTTGACCGTGGTGAGACTCGGTGAGGACCCACCAATGATGGGCTCAAGGGTAACTGATGCTTTTGAGACGCGACTGAAGCGCGGTGACTCTGGTCCTCGATCAACTGAGAACTGATGTTATTTAATCAAGATGGCGCAATCCGAAGTGGGCAAAGTCACGCAAGATCTTGAAAAGTTGGACTTTCATCACCCGTATACACCTTATGATGTTCAAGAGCAGTTTATGAAGGCTGTTTACAACGTTTTGGAGACTGGTAATGGGCAGGTTGGCATATTGGAGAGCCCGACTGGTACAGTGAGTGCTCCCCAAGGCTGAGACGGATATTTTGATACTGCATTGATTAGCTTTGACTCTCCAATTCGTCATCCTACCAGAAATACTAACATCGAATAGGGGAAGTCACTGTCATTGATCTGCGCCTCACTAACATGGCTCCGCAACCACAAATCCAATCAATTAGAAGCATCTATCCAAGAATCAGCGGAAGCTTATAAGGATGAACCATCATGGCTCGTTGAGCAGCTTCTCCGCCGCAAGCGCGAAGAGCTCGTTACTCGCTGGGAAGATCGAGAAAAGCGTCTTGAGACCCTTCGTCTTAAGGAAAAGGCACAAGAGGAACGCTCCCGTAAGCGTCGACGAGTTGAAGACTTCGTACCCAGTAGATCACGCGTAGAAGATGAAGATGCTGAGTGGCTGCTTGATGACCCTGATGATCCCGACGCTGGACCTCATGACGCGCTGTCTGGCTTGAGTAAAGAGACACGAGAAGTCCTTGCGAGTATCGGTTTGGGAGGGGCAAAGAAGCCTGAGGAGGAAGATGGTCTTTTAGAGGAGCCAATCAAGGTGCGAATGTCTTCGAGGAGCCATAAAGTACGAGTAGTAACATTGATAGATCTATTACACGTCCAGAACACATTCTCAACTTTCGCAATTCATCACCGAACTTCGTCGCCCCTCGTTTCCACCATCACTGCCAATATCACTCGCCAAGAGCGAAGAGACGAAGATAGAAGCAGTAAAGCTTCTACCATTGTCATCCCGACAAAGATTATGCATCAATCCCGCTGTCTCACGCCTTGGGTCCGTACAGGCCATCAACGACCGGTGCTCAGAACTTCAGCAGCCAAAGTCAGGACAGAAATGCCCCTTCGTACCCAAAGGAGATATGCTCTCACAGACACACCAATTCCGCGATTCGGCTTTGGCCACCCTGCCGGATATTGAAGACCTTCATCAACTTGGCAAATCACTCTCTGTCTGTCCATATTACGCATCGCGAACTGCTTTACCAGGCGCTGAGATCATTACACTTCCGTATCCTCTACTGTTGCAGAAGAGCGCCAGAGATGCGCTCGGCGTCAAGCTGGAGGGCAGCGTTGTCATTATCGATGAGGCGCATAATATCATGGATGCGGTGGCAAATGTGCATGCGGCTGAGATTAAGCTGAGCGATCTGCAAAAAGGACGAGCCATGTTGGGCGTTTATGTGAAGAAGTTTGGCAAGAAACTCAAAGGCGTCAATCGAGTCAATGTTGGGAGAGTGGGAAGAGTCATTGATGGTCTTAGCGAGTGGATGAATGGGGCACTCAAGTTCAAGGTCAGTCTACTGCCACTGATAAAATCGCATTTACTGATGTCCTGCTAGCAAGAACATGGTATCGTGGATCCCAACGACTTGACCCGACCAAAAGGTATTGACCAGATCAACATGTTTGAGCTCATTCAGTATATCCAAGAGTCAAAGCTCGCCTTCAAGATCGAAAGTTACATATCCCATGTCGAGAGCGAGGATACAAACTCCAAAACACCAAGATCCGGTTCGCCAGTTCTTCACACCCTAGTATCGTTCCTCATCGCCTTCACAAATCTGAGCTCCGAGGGACGAATATTCTACCAAAAGATCAAGGGGCCAACCCCTGACATACAACTTTCTTACTTGCTCTTATCCCCGACTTACGCATTCTCATCTATCGCGTCTAGTGCGAGAGCAGTTGTGCTTGCAGGAGGTACAATGTCGCCATTTGACGATTACAAGGACCACCTATTCCCATCACTGAAACAAGAAAAAATCACCACTCTCAGTTGTGGACATGTCATTCCGCCCGAGAACCTCTGTGTCTGGACACTGGCCTCTTCAAGGCCTGGGGCACCACCCTTTGAGTTTAGCTTCCAAAAACGAGGCGATGCAGAAATGATAACGCAGCTGGGCCTTGCGATTCTGAACCTCTGCTCATTAGTTCCCGATGGCGTCGTTATCTTTTTCCCCAGCTATGGATATCTTGATGAGGTGGTAACTGTTTGGCAAAAGAGTCCAGGGAATGCACAGCCAATCTGGGATCGACTGGCCTCACGAAAAGCACTCTTCAAGGAATTAAGGGGCGCATCAAGCGATGAGGTTCTCCAAGAATATTCCGACGCCATCCTCGGCGAGAAGAGCAACGGCAAAGGCGCCCTTCTTCTCAGCGTCGTAGGTGGTAAGATGTCAGAAGGCATCAATTTCTCCGACCGTCTCGGTCGATGCGTCATAGTAATCGGATTACCCTATCCCAACATCGCATCACCAGATTGGAAAGCAAAAATCGAGTACATCGAGACAACGACACAAAACAACCTCACAGCGCAAGGCGTGGCGAAAGAAGAAGCTATAAGTAAAGGCAAACAGACAGCGAGAGACTTTTACGAAAACGCTTGTATGCGGGCAGTTAATCAGAGTATCGGCCGTGCAATCCGGCACCGGGGCGATTATGCGGCGATAGTTCTTGTGGATCGACGATATGGCACAGAGCGAATCCGGGGCAAACTACCGGGGTGGATAAGAGGGGGTTTAGTGAAGGACGGTCATGAGAAGGGTCTCGGAGGTCTGATGGGCGCTGTCGGAGGGTTCTTCCGAGGAAAGAGGAACAGGATCCAGAATCAGTAAAGGCGATCATGGTAGGGCTGGGTCTTTGTTACTTCCAAGTCTGGGCATAACGAAAGCTTTCAGATCACGAGACAGATTTGAGCTTGTCCAAAGATGGGAGCTTGGTTGTGGGTGGAGGTCGAGACCCTTCTTGGCGGAGAAGAAGAGGCAGATTAGGCTTTTCCGCCACAGAGACCGTGCTTTCGATGGAAGATCGATGGACGGCGTGTTAATTAGTTAGAAGGATGCAGAACATGCGTCGAACATTCGATGTCAGATTGTGACAGGGTTCATGTCTAAAAAGACCGAGACAATACCATTGTTGTAGCTTTGCTTTGCAGGTGCTACAAAGCTACAGCCAAGAAGCATTTAATGATAAGAAAGCATGAACAGAATGAATACACGTTCTATGAAGGGTAGATACGGCAACATCAGGCATTTCCTGTCAAACACGCCTTGACAACACGCCTTAAGAAAGTCGCCCGCAGTAAAAGCTCCATGCGGCGACCTTTATCCCGCAGAATCGCGTTAGCAGTCACACTAACACCGACTGCGATTGGCGAATGAATGAATTCTCGTTGGTTGATAAAAAATACTAGCGACATCTCAGAAAAAAAAAAGGCGGAACCGGGACCGGGACCGGGGCGACCGATTTATTTGCCCGTTGACTCTTATAAGACTCATTCTCCTCACTCACCCAAGGTATTGGATAGTTCATCATACTATTATCTTGCTTCTTTTTTTGGAGTCTTGCAATGGCGACAAAAACAGAACAGGCTCCAGAGAGGAGCATGCCTCCTGATGATGATCACAGCGATGTCGAGAGTCTCAAGGCAGCGGCTCTTTTCCACAAAGCTTTGCGCATGGGAAGAGTTGAGGAGAAGGGTATTCAGCCAATTCCCCTTGAAGAGCGCACCGTGACACGCTTTTACAATATTTTCACCGTCTGGGCGTCTATCAACTCTAATATCCTTGGGCAAGTTAATTTCTAAACCTTTTTATAAGCGTATACTAACAAGCGCAGTATCACTTTTGGCATGCTGGGCCCATTGGTGTATGGCCTGAGTTTGAGAGACTCTGCGCTCATCATCCTCTTCTTCTGTCTCTTCTCAACCATCGGGCCTGCGTATCTTGCTACATTTGGTCCTAAAACTGGAATGAGGCAGATGATTCAGGCGAGATATAGTTTTGGTCGATATCTCGTCTCTATTCCTGTTCTCCTCAACCTCGCCACTCTGACCGGTTTCATGGTCATCATCTTTGTCGTCGGCGGACAGTGTCTCTCCGCTGTATCAAGCGGCCACTTGAGCCCTGACGTCGGAATCGTCATTATTGGTATTTTGTCACTGTTTATTTCGTTCTGTGGATTCAAGGTTTTGCATTACTACGAGACTTATGCTTTCATCCCCGCCATCATCGCCATCACCATTGCGACAGGATGTGGTGGTTCTGAGCTTTCGAAGCAGGCCCCTCCTGCGACACCAGCGACCGCAGCAGCAGTTCTCAGCTTTGGAATGATTGTTGCGAGTTACATGATTCCCTGGGCAGCCATCGCAAGCGATCTTACGACATATTTCGATCCCAAGGTCCCCTCGTGGCGCGTCTTTGCGTACAGTTACCTCGGTCTCGTCGCACCCACCATTCTCCTCATGGTTCTTGGAGCTGCCATTGCTGGGGCTCTTCCAAATGTGCCTGAGTGGTCAGAAGCTTATGGTGAAACAGCAGTCGGAGGCGTTCTCGCAGCCATGCTTTCTAGCGCCGGTGGCTTTGGAAAGTTTGTGGTGGTTATCCTCTCGCTCACTCTGTTGGGTAACACTGGCGGCACAATGTACGCCATTACACTCAACTTCCAGACTCTTATTCCTGGCTTGATCAAGATTCCCCGCTATGCCTTCGCCATTGTCGTTACCGTCATCGTCATCCCCACTGCTATACGAGCTCAGCGCGATTTCTTTGTCAATCTTGAGAACTTTGTCGCTCTTATCGGTTACTGGTCTGCATCTTTCATTGGAATTGTTTCAGTTGAGCATCTCGTTTTCCGAAAAGGTCGCTGGGAATCTTACGACCATGCGATCTGGAACGTTGCGTCTGAACTACCCCTTGGTATTGCGGCCATCGCTGCAGGTATCATTTGCTACGCGATCGTTGTGCCTTGTATGGCGCAGGCTTGGTGGACTGGCCCAATTGCAAAGACGACTGGCGATATTGGCTTTGAGATTGCGTTTGTTATGAGTTCGCTATTCTACATACCATTCCGATGGTTGGAAAAGCGTATGTCAGGAAGGTAATTAGGGTGATACGGCCTCAACGCCGGAGCGAAGATAATGAGGTGGATGCATAGATAGGTGGATTAGAGAAAATATGAGCATAATTGGCATACTTGACTTAAACGTACTTATCTGGTGAAGACTGAGGCCCCCTTAATGAACTTGCGCCTTCTTCCTTACAGTCATCATCATCCCATCCCTTGGCCTCCCGTCCAACCCAAGCTGCTGGAATGCCAAGCCCCCAAATACGAGATCGAAATTGGTATGTTTCGTCTTGGGCTCTCTGTTGGGCTTCAGTCCCGCACATTCAAACGTATACTTACCCATAGTCATGACCATGACAATCTTGAGTATGTTCATTCCCATATTCTGGCCAGGGCACGTTCTCCCATCTCCGCCAAATGTCCTGAAGTAATCACCGGGGATGGGTTTCTCTTGATTTAGCCATCGTTCTGGTCGAAAGGCTGCAGGATCCGGATATATGTGTGCGTCGTAGTGGATGGTGTGTGCGCTGGCTGTCACGACGAGGCCATTGGCGATAGGGAGGCGGCGGCCATCGTTTGTGGTGACTGTCGTCCCTGGAGGTGCTTGTTTTAGATCGGAACCGAGGGGGTAAAGCCTCAAAGACTCTTTGAGAACCGCTTCTGTGTAATGGAGTCTTCGAAGCATATTTGGGTTGGCGAGAAGAGTGACTTCAGGAGAGGTTCCAAGCTGTTCAATGTGTTCTTGGTTCATCTTTTCCACAACATCAGGGGCTTTTGATAGAAGCATCAATAGTAACTAATTTAATATGGTCAGACAAGTATGCTCACAGAGAAGGAGGGTCGACCTACGCAGAGAGTGTTCGTCGATGTGCTGTGCCCTCCCAACAGCATCGTTCTTAGACTACGGCTGAAATTAGCTTGTGCTATCCGGTGCCGAGAAGCAAAACCTACTTGCTAAAGAGCATCTCTTCTTTGGAACTAGAAAGCCGTGGACGGCCGTACACACCTCTCTTCCTTTCCTCCAGCACAGCTTCCGCATGCTCACGAACCAAGAGATCCATGATGCTTCTCGGGTTCTGCCTTGATGGAACGCCTCCTTCCCGAACAATCCGCTCCACGCATTCGTTAACCTTTTGCCTCAGGGAGCTGTTGAGCCTGCTAACGATTCGGTGTCTTTTCCATCGTCGGGGGATCTGTATAATTGGGTTATAGGCAATGAGGGGGTCTGTCTCTCCTTGAGCAAGATTCACAAGGTCCCTCAAATCCTCCAAGACTTGACTTCCTACTGTTTGAGAATACTGAGGCTCTCCAACTGTGACTGTCGCAGCTATGTCGAATACTGGTTTCGCGACGAGCTCCTCCATGGAGAATGTGTCTCCTGTCACGGCCAACTCGGCCAACTTATCTTGGAATAGCAGACATTCGTCGATCATGATATTCGTCATTCCTAGGACATGGCCCATCGAGAAAGCCGGACTAACAGCTGTGGCCATTTTCCTCCATAGCGCGCCGTTGGTCGCTGCCATTGTTCCCTCGCCAAACATTGGCTTCAGGAATATCGCAGTAAAGGGATGTATAGGAAGAGGTTTCGGAAGGGATGAGTTGTCCATCAGTTTAGGATCAGTAATCACGGCCATACCAGGGCCTATAGGCCAGAGGTCGAGGTAGAATATTTCTTCAAGGTTGTATAAGCGGACCATTTCTGTATAGAGGAGCTGCGGGTGAGTGTTTGGCGGCATCGATGCTGCGACTTGGCTAAAGACCTTGATATGGCCGAACAGCCAGCTATGGGGAGGTCCTGGCTATAGGTAATTAGTTGATTCAAGCGTGTTAGTGAATGGCGAGGTGAGGTACCAAGTCTCGGTAAAATCGGCGATGGTTGTAGCCACGGCATAATATCACGATAATGAGACATGTTGCCAACGTGGTAGCTAGAATTGGCCCTCTCATTTGCGAAGAAAGCTCAATGATGGTGTTGATTATATGCATTTTGATAAAGTCGCCTTAAGAAGAAAAAAGGAGCTTCTATGAGATAAAGAGTTTTATCCTGAATGTTCGCCATCTCAGTCATGGTTACTTATACATGGATCCAAAGGGCTTGGCTGAGATTGAGTTACACGATCTTGAATAGATTCGGGTTCCGATGCCCATCAACCCTAGAAGCGGAGTGCAATTGATGTAGTTGGACATGGCGTTGATACCAAAGGCACAATGTGCAGTGCAACGGCGAAACTGTTTCATGGGCGGTCAGTCCGTAAGTGAAGATAATGAACCCGATGTTGGCTGAGACATGACACCAAAATTCCCAATTCGCAAAATCTCGGACATGATTCAACTATTGACATGTGCAAGATCACCAGGGTTCCAATTGAATTAATCCGATATTACAATTTATTCCGATCTTCATCTCATATTCATCGGTAGAAGTCTCTTGAGATTTAATTGGTGTAGCCTTGGTCTTACGCACTAATCCAACCCATGACATCCTCCCTCCCGTCTGCCTCAGATTCCCTGCCAAGATTTTCACCTTCACTTCAAGACGCCCAAAATGTCTGGAAATCTATGGTCAATCCCTCTCCAAACCACAAACTTCAATATAGTTGTCGCTTTTCTCGGCGGCTTCATATCAATCTTCGGCCTCGTATCCTACCTCCTCAAAGAAAACTACTATCTCTCCGAAGCCCGTACGTCACCAACACCCTTGCATAAATATCTCTTGGCATTTCTAAAGCACATTCCCTGTTACAGTTATCTCTCTCTTGGCAGGCGTTGCATTTGGTCCTCATGGCGCAGACTTCATTCGTCCAAAGGACTACGCTGAGTGCGCTGAGTTTCCCGAGTCGTGCAATTTTGACCTCAATGCTATAACCCTCAACTTTAGCCGCCTTGTCCTCGGCGTGCAGCTTGTTCTTGCAGGTGTGCAGTTACCGAGTAAATATCTCGTGAGAGAATGGAAGTCGCTTAGTTTGTTGCTTGGGCCTGGTATGACTTGTATGTGGCTTGCTACGAGTCTGCTTGTATGGGCGCTTGCGGGACAGCCGCCGTTCTTACATGCCCTTGCTATTGGGGCTTGTGTTACACCCACTGATCCGGTTTTGAGTGCTGTTATTGTGAAGGGCAAGTTTGCGGACCATAACATCCCGCAGGATCTTCAGTATCTCATCACTGCTGAGTCTGGTGCCAATGATGGACTGGGCTACCCGTTCCTCTTCTTGGCGCTCTATCTCATCAAGTTCACAGGCGCTGGAGCTACATCTGGAGGAGCGGCGGATGCTATTGGGCTGTGGTTCGGTATGACCTGGGGTTATACCATCCTTCTCAGTGTAATCTACGGCGCTGTGGTGGGATGGGTTGGCAAAGAGCTGCTTCACTTCGCTGAAAAGCACAATTACGTTGATCGCGAAAGCTTCCTCGTATTTGCCATCGCCCTAGCACTCTTTGTCTTAGGGACATGTGGCATGGTCGGTACAGACGATGTTCTAGCATGCTTCATCGCCGGTAACACATTCACATGGGACGACTGGTTCCGCCTCGAGACAAAAGACGACTCTCTCCAACCTACAATCGACATGCTGCTCAACGTTACCATATTTCTCTGGTATGGAGCCTACATCCCCTGGAGAGACTTCCATGACAACTCTGTTATTCCTCTGTGGCATCTTGTCATCCTGGGGATTTGTGTCCTTATCCTGAGGCGACTCCCGTGGGTATTTGGAATGCACAAGTGGATTCATCAGATTGAGGAGGTCAAGCAGGCTGTTTTTGTCGGCTTTTTTGGACCAATTGGTGTTTCGGCAGTGTTCTATCTGTTCATCAGCCTGGAGTTCATTGAGGAGCATCTTAGTGATAATGGTAACCCGAGGAGTGATGTCAAGAATCTTGGAGACCAGACACGCATCATTGTGTGGTTCCTCACAGTTTGCAGTATCGTAGGTGGCCGCTTACCCGTCAATTATTATTTATGCTAACAGAGTATAGGTCGTTCATGGCCTGAGTATCCCAGTCGGAAAATTGGGCTTCCACGCACCCAGGACATTGAGTCGCGTTGTCAGCGAAAGTCTGAGCGATGCTCCAGCAGGTGGACGACGACGAAATATCCCCTTCATTGGGAGGTATTTTTTCAGACAAGATAAGAAAGATGCCCGTCCGGCTACTGGTCCAATTGTTATCACTGGCGCCCAAAGAATGCGCTCAGAGCTGCCAGTCCATGCTGGCGATGAGACACCTCCAATCAGACGAGAGATACAGTTCGCTGATGAGGTCAGATAAGAGTCGCGAGTGAGTTTCCTTTATCTGGCATATAGATTCACATCGGTAGACGGTGTCATATGATAAATAGCGACATATCTCATTAAGCATATCCCTCTAAATAAGAAAAATAAGGCGTATCGCATAAAAGGCGACAATCCTTCAGCATTTCAGTAGCCCTATTACAGGGCCATGTCCCATCACATCTAAGCCAGGAGCATCGCAGCGCCAACAACAGCGCCGACGACTCCGTAAGGTGCCATGGCAGCAGCAGCGTTGGTCTCGTCGGGGTTAGAAGCATCGTTGGTAGCAGAAGCATCATTGTTGTTGTCGTCGTTACTTCCACTACCTCCATTACCACCGCTGGTACCGGTAGCAGAAGGCTCGTTGGAGTTCTGGGTTCGTGTGCCGCCAACAATGGTGGTGGTCAACTGAGACGCATCTGTAGGTCGAGTCGCATCGACTGAGACGCCAGAGACAGCAGCTGAGGCGGCGGATGCGACATAGGTGGTAGATGAGAAACCACAGGTGTACATGATATCATCAATTTCTACACAATTAGCGCAGCTCATGTAATTCCTCAGGAGAACTTACCCTCAGTGTCATCACGGATATCATCATCGTCGTCATCGTCATCCCGGTCGTTTTGAGCATTCTGGTGAATGCAGCCGGCGCAGAGAGCAGCGACACGGCTAACGTTGAAAGAGTCGTTTGTGCAGACACACTGAGCCTCAAGACGATCTTCCTCGCGGTCACGATCGCCACGGAGGTCAGTGTCGCATGTCTTGGTGAGCTGAACAATTGGATCACAGATGGTGTCGCATTCTCGTGGGATATCGTCCCGGTCAAGACTGACGTCTGCTCGGGCGAGGTAGAGAAGGGGAGCAATAGCAAGGGCGATGGTTGAAGTGTACATTTTGAGTGATTGTGTGAGAAGAAGTTCTGTTGGTGTTGTTGGGTTTAAAGTGTGACGGGGTAATTGAGGTTGTGAATGAAGCTGTTGATGATGAGAGAATGAATTGAAGGACAAAGCAGGCATTTATACATTCTCATCGGTCAACTCCAGTTTCACAATACATTCTTACTTTCTTGGCAACTCTTATTGCATGTCACTTCCCGACGATCCCCTTGGCCAGCCGAAAGCCTCACCTTAATGTCGAGTGATCCTTGCCTGCTTTCACCAAGCCACGGCAGTCGTAATGCCTGGGTGATATGCCAAGCAATTAAATCTGCCCACCAATTGATCGTCTGCACGACTCAGAAGCTTGCTCGTCACTGGCTTCACGATAACTTTCGTCTCCGCTTCTACGGTCTTGGCGGAGCGTCATGGTTAAAGCGTTGGGCTGCCATTCTCCACTGCCAAATTTCTTGCTTGTCTCCAAGTCTGGGGAACTTGTTGTGCCAATACTCTCGGCGAGCTTGTATTGACCTCGAAGCTATTTGCAGATAAATTACAGGATATTGGTATCCGTACTAGAGGCATGTGGACTGATTATGCTTATATTTCTCCGGTGTGCGATATAAGCTTAAACTTTTGGCCCTGCGTCATAAGTGACATACAACCAGGGTCGGCAATTAACAAAGAAATTCGAGAAAGCAAAAAGATCAACACACGCACGATGATCAGTGGCTGTTCCCCCCCAGGCCACGCAATACCCCCTCCACTACCCCAGCTCCCGCAATTTATGCTTGATTCTACTGTCGCGTGAGGTCTTTCCTCTCTGAGAAGCACATTGATCGTTGTGATTCGTCTACCAAGGTTTACACCCGTGCATTCACATTGGTCAAAGGTATTAGAAGCGTGGACTCAGCTGCCAAGACGATATCACAGCCTCGCTAGCCACGCGTTTCCATTCTATCTTTAATAGCAGAGTTTGTCTTGGCGATCCATCAGTTTGAGCCCTATCGTGTTTGAGCCTCGTTCAACGTGGTGATCTCGGAGGTTTTCGTTTGGTTATGAGAATACACTGACTGCGTAACTTGGGAACACAGACGTTTTGGCGGCGTTTTTGGGAAGGTCGTCGTGACGTGGCTCAGTACGTTGTGAAGACGACGCAGAGATGTTTGTCACGTTAAATCCTGTATTGCCAAGACTGTTGGTTATCATGACGGCAGGCTGAGTACGCTCAGATCGCTCTGAGACGTGGTGATGAGGCGCAAGAGAGAGAAGGGAAATGTCGGAATGGAGGAAAGGTTCGGGTTCTAGAAAATAGGTCCGGATCGGCTTCTTGTGCTACCTTGATGATTATCACTGGGCATGAATCAGAATGCTGATCTATATCCGTTTATTCACTATCATATTGTCGTCAATTTAGCGCGAGGATGTCTGTATGGAGACATGAAAAGAAGAACCGGGATGAAACGTTGAGATATCGCATTTCTTTCCGTCTCGCTCCTCCTCCAAACGACTTGCACCGATGTTCGTTCGCACGTTGACGCGGGTTATCTGCACATCCATGGGATAAAAGTACTCAAGGAGGTAATGTCTCTGAGTGATCATCTAAATGGTGGCTCACTGCGCTCTATATTAGCTTCTTGATCCCCCAATTCCACAGCAACTCACATTTGTCAATCTCTCATTCATCAACACTACCATCCTCCAGCGTTGTCACATCGTATGCGAGCCTCAACTCAAGCAACAGTCTTATCCAACTCTGCCAACACAATAGGCGTGGCTGATTCAATCCACTCACGTGGAATCGTAGTCATCTCTCCCGTCCTAACATACCCCAACTTCTCATACCACTTAATTAGACTCTTTCTCGTATGCAGCGCATTCAACCCAATCTTGCCAACACCAAAATCCTTCATGAGATACTCTTCTCCATATGCAACAAGCTTTTTGCCCAAACCTCCCCGCTGCAGTGTCGGGTCGACAGCTAAGAGACACAAACGGCCGTAATCAGGGGCCTTTCTCATAACGTTGACGCACCCGATTATAGGGCCCTTGGGGGTGTCACTGGCGACCAGGAATTTGCTATCTTTTGAAGTGATCCTGTCGACAATGACGGATATCTCGATGTTGAAAGCTTCAGCTAATTCGGGAGATCCGATCCAGTCGATGTGAGCGTCTCTGAAACGGAATGCTGCTTCGATGAGCTCTTGAAGACGAGGGGCATCATCCTCAGTGGCGACGCGAAAGTGCAAGTTAGACATTGTCATTAATTGGTTTTTTGAACAGTACTGAAAGGATACCTAATGTCAATTTGTTGAAGTTCATTCGATCGTATACGTGACTCTTTAAATACCTCAAACTCCCGTGGTGATCACCAAATCTACAATATTTAAAATAGGAAGGTCGTCTAAGGGCGTCAGATTGACGCTAAAGAAGTGAAAAACATGTCATATTAAAGGGTTCTCAGTGCCGTTTAAGCGGTCTGTTGTAACCTAAACTGATCACTGTCGGACAGTAAGGGCGAGCCTTTTGATCGACAGCCCTACAAGTGGAGGGCGCAGGCAGTATTGAGGCTCGGAGATAGGGCAGCAGACCAATGGGAGAATTTGTATAATTGCCTCAACTTCTATCTTTGCGCCATCGTTCTTTTGTCTTATTTCCATCTTCGTTTACTAGGTTGTTGGCAAAAAATGCTGCACCAGATATCAAATGTTCTTGATCTGGCCTGTAGTGAAGCTGCTTACCCGAGACCCGTATCACTGAGATCAGTGAAGGACACTTACTAATTTTCTTCCTAGCTATTGTGTGCTCTATGAAAACTATTTGTATAAGATCCTTCGTTTTAGGTACCAGAGGGTGTTGTGCATTTATTCCCTGAGCAGCAGAGCGGTGTCGTTTTGGCCTATTTATTAATGATTTTATGTCATTTTCTCCGCCGGGACAAGCTTCACTACCTCATGAAAAGACTATTGATTCAACTTGCTCGGTGAGAAGTGAGATCGCAGTGTACTTGTTTGGAAGTATCTGCCTACTCTCTTTGGCGTGTCTTTGTGTCGGGCTTTCCGGCCCCCCATGGGAAAACCCGACCGTTTCACAATGTGGCTTCAGTGAAAGCGAGCTGGGCTCCTGAGTGAACATGGAAAGCCCTCGCTCTTGTATTCCCACTCCAACACTGATCAATTCTACCTACCTAGTTGAGATCAATTGGAATTTCTGCTCAAATTAAGTACAATATGTGTAGGAAATCGGGTTGTCATTGCGAATAATTGTGCTCAACAACCAGAGAGCCTTTCTCAATTGCTTACGATCCCCTAATGATTGGAGCCATGGTCCGCTTCGACTGCACAATTGCAACCAACAAACACCAATGAGTCAGACCCAATTACACAGCCCAAACTTCATGCAATTGAAACTCGATGCATCGCAATTGTCCTATCACTGAAGAGCAAAAACGGCGATCCCGATAACCCATCTCACACCGTTCGGGTCCACGGGCCCATGGCCATACTGTAAGCGCCCGCTGCAAGGAATGCTTTAGCGCAAGTGTACCCATAATCCAGCACACTGTACGCCGACCTCGTGCAATATAAAACACCATCCCTCGTCCTCACTCTACTTTTCTTTCTTCATCAACACCAACGGACCCTCCCACCGTCCGCTCCTCCTGTTCCCCTCTTTAGCCTAATCGGCCTCTCTGCACTTACAGGGGAGGCCAAGCCCCCTCGAACTTGAATCAATGGAGGTCGCAGCAGCATCAGGAGCAAAGTGCGCCCGACAACTCGTCATGTCATGGTAGTCTCATCAGTGCCCCGGCGCCAGATTCTGATTTTGGCCTCTTGTGCGACGTTTCTCCCTTCTTGGATCTTCCCCTTCTCGACTTCGACTTCAGCTCCCAAGGTGTTTACCAGGGAAATGATGCGTCGTGGAATTTTGGTCAGAACATGGGAGAGGGATTGTTTGATCAGATTATGATTCCTGATATGAACACTCTGGATACGAATACTCAACTCGATGTGGGAGATGGCTTCCTCGCTCAGGAGCAGCCTCTCATCACTGTCAACTCTTCACCGCTCGAGCAACCTTCAACATCAAGCACTCCCCACCCTACTGCTACCACCACCAACAAATCTCCCTCTTCATCTATCCCAGGAACATCCACCTTCTCCCTCCACCCATCTCCCTCCTCTTCATCAGGCTCCTCCCGGAAGCGCAAATCGTCACCGGAAGATGAAGAGTCAGCTGTTACCCTCAAACGCCAACGCAACACCCTCGCAGCTCGCAAGTACCGCCAAAAGCGACTCGATCGCATCTCGGAGCTCGAGGAGGCACTCGCCGCTATGACAAATGAGAGAGACGATATGAGGCTTCAACTTGCTAGGAGAGAAGCCGAAGTGGATGCCTTGAGAGAAATGATGGGAAAGAAGTGATGGAAGCAATACCGGAAACAGAACGAGAGGAGCAGGAAAGGAAATACAGCACAAGAGTTCAGCATCATTGTTTGGATTCGGGGCTTTGGAAAGACTTCTAGATATGTTACTTGTCAGCGAGGCGCATTTTGAATTATAATGTTTTTTTGTTCAATCATCCAATCGTAATTCCTGTGATGTGGTGTATGTTGTCAGATGATGATGCTCTTAGCAGGTGAGGTCGCGATCGCACTCATCTTCATCATTTTGTCTCAACCCTTAAAATCAATTGCTTCGTTCTGTCAAGTCACCTCAAGCAATTTATACATGTTATTCGACGTCGCAAACCTCCGTAACATCCGAACGATGCTGGTGTAGGTACCAAAATCAGACTATGTACATAGAACTTACTATTCCATTATCTTGCTTTCCATGGAATGAGTAACAATGAATCACAGACTGGATGTTGGCCAGTTGCGATAGAAGGACAGTGCATCACGAGTACAACAGCACTGTAAGGACCCCAGACGAACGTGCGGGAAGTGGGGTAAATGCGAGGTCCTTTGTACGATAAAGGATGAGCCAGAATGAGTCATTTCGAAGACTTCCCTTTTAGGAAAGAGAAGATTGTTGTCGTTGATCTGATCTGATTGGTTTGATCTTCACCTGTTCAACAGGAAGTATCCTGATATTGAGAGATGCTTGGGTTCGAATACCAACCTTTGGTAAGTATCCTTTGTCAACCAGTCTGTTTTTGCCGTGGTGAAGTGCTGGACCTCCCAATTGACCTAATTGCTCAACTACTGAGGATTGTGTGCAAGATTGCGTTCACAAGTCTTGAGCTACAATAACTGGAACTCTTAGGAGTAAGTCCTCTCTAGGCTATTGACTGAGCACGCTACTCCTCACTCGAATTCCATATTCCTCTTCTTTTACCGAACTTTTGTTTTATCGCCTAGGAATTGCAATTCTGCCTTGCTTCTCGCCGCTACGACCCCAGTCACGGAATCATCAGTCTCAATCTGAGCGACCCCTATCACAACATCCGGTATGGTGTAGTGGCTAACATTTCGCGCTCTCATAACCTGAGAGATCAGTTCCGCGGAGCCCAGGGTTCGATT